AAATACACTACTGATCGATTGCTTATATTGAGTTTCTGCTTTGCAAACAAGTTGAGGTTATAATTGTAAGTTTATTTGTATGAAATAAGAAATAATATATGTGACATTTGGATTTTATGCTACCATTTTTCTAAACAGGTGGTAGTGAGTCATTCACTTAAATATTGAGTAATCTTCAATAATGTGTAACGAAGATTTCTCTGAAACCATTAAAATAACGTATATAAATAATAGTATGTCAAAATGTGTGCCTATTTCAATTTTGCACACATTTTGACAGAAATTTGAATGAAATTTAGAGGTTTTTCTTCAAATTTGAATGATGCTTGTCAGAAAAAGTGTCAAAATGTGTGCAAATGTGTGCTATGTTTTTTTCTCACATTAACGATATTAAAACAAATTATCATTATTGCTAACACTTCCCCCCATTCACATGTGTTAATTTATATCAACCGTTCAGGTTCACCTTCAGATGATACATTTGAATCTTTAAAGCATTTAATCAAAATTCCAATTATTTATTTATCACAAGAAGAAGCAGAAGATTATTTAAAAAACTTTTTAATGTATAAAGAATTATATAATACAATCAAGAAGCAAGGATTAGAGGATAAAATTATTGATAAACAACGGGATGAATTATTTGAAACACTTTCTATTTCAAATTTTGATAGAGAATTTTTGCATTCACTAATTTTTCTAGATGATGCCGTGAAATCAAAACTAATAACTAATGAGAAATCATATTTTAATCAATTATTAACTCAATGTCGACACATTCAGTGTTCATTCTTTATGGCTGTTCAATATTTCAAAGCATTAAGCACAAACATTAAATCAAACCTGTCCACCCTTTTCATTTTCAGTGGGTTTAGTCGTCAACAGTTGAACGTTATGCTTTATCAAGTGAATTTACCAATGAGCATTAATGAACTTTACACACAATATCAACAATTAGGAGAACATGGAAAAATAATAGTTGATTTAAATAAAGGTTCCATTAAATTCGAATAACTTTTTTATAATTAATTTTTATTTTTTATTTATAATTAAACATGACAGAAATTGCAAATCTTCTACAAGTTCCATTAAAACAAGGAACAAACAAAAAGGGTGCATATAATAGAACTATGAAAGTTCCAGACGGAATGAAAGAATTAGTCCACATTGTTGCCGGTCTTCAAAAGGATGTTAAACAAATGAGAAACGTTTTAACATTACCAGAAGCTCAAGCATATGCCAAACGTCATGGACCAAATTGGGAAGCACACGAAGCAGACATTACGGGTCCAAATGGAAAACCTGATGGAATAAATGAAGTCTTTGTTACTGATGGTCAAGGTAATATTAAAGTCATAAATGGGTATAAATTAACAATGACGGATTATCCTAAACGTAAAGCATATAATGAACGTTATCCTATGCAATTTGATGAAAATGGAAAAGCTGTTAAACAATACATTGGAGAAGGTGAAAATGGTCCAATTAATTCATACCGTCATAATCCATATTCTTATTTCAATGAAGAATTAAATGCTATTGAAGAGGGACCGGATGGATTACCACGATATTCTAACCAGTTTGATGGTCAATATGCAAATTTGAGACCTGAAATTCCAGCTAAGAAATTCTTTAAAGTTGCTTTATTCGATCCAGTGTTCAATGAACAGAAAGAAGCAATGAAAGCAGAATTTAAACCAATTCAAGTGGCAAGAATTTCTTCATCTTCACTTTCAGAAGCGTTCAAGGAATTGATAAAGAAACCACTTTATTCTCAACAAGGTTATAACTTTGATTTAATTAAAGAAAGTGATAGATGTAAATTAGAAAAATCAGATGGTTTTAAGAATGCATGTAATGAAATGATTAAAGATATTGTAAATGATAAAATAAGACTGGGAGAAACTCAAATCATTATCAATAACATAATTGGTGCAGTTACAAAGAAAGTATAAGCAAACAATGATGAACCTTGGGATATTACCCTAACAACTAAATAAAACTTTAAGTATATTTTTCTTTTTTTTATTCAATTATAAATGAGAAGACGTTTCACAAGTCAAAAGAACACAAACGCAAAAGCAGAGATTACGGTTGGTTATAACGTAAATGATGATAAATCACGAATTATTCAAAATGTTAAAGTTAATGTTAGTCCTGAATTAACAAGGTCAGCAACACAGTCCAATTTATTAACTCGTGACTTACCAAAGAAAGAGGAGGAGCAAAATAAAGAAGATGAAGACCCAATCATTTTATCTGAACCCGGTAAAGAACCCGTTGAAATCCCCACATATCCAACATACCCCCCACCTCTTTCATCAAACATCAAGAACCCAGGAATCTACGATTCCAGTCGCAATGCGCCATATAAAATAGACATTAATTCTGAATTAATGAAAATTTACCGTGATATAATAACTGATAATTATGATTCAATAATAAATTTAATTGACCAATCCGGTTTAATTATTTTACCTTATGAATCATTAATTCACATTATCGCCATTCTTTGTGATGTTCAAGATTCAGACGTTAAGATTCAATTTTTCATAGATGATGAGGTTTCATGCTGCGGAACAGTTGCAAAAATAAATCCTATAAAGGATATTAGCACAATTAAGATATCAAAGAACGGAACAACAACTGAACTTCATTTAACATATAATGATATTTATAATAAAATAGTTGATGAATATAAAATATCACTTGAAAAATTCTTTGTTAAGGCTATTTAATATTCAAGCATTAACATTATCGAATAATAATCCTTTGAATCATAATCAATAATAATTGACCTTTCACCAGTTTCTATCGTTTGTTTTATTTCTTTTTGTTCCCCACTATCTGGATCGGTCATTGTAATTGTTTTTGTTATAGTATCAGCTTTATCTTTAACTTCAATCTTTTTTCCATCAGGATATTTAAACCAAAATTCCAAAAATTCGATATTGTCAATCTGTTCATATTTTAATCTATCAATTACATTTTTAATACCATCTGAAAATCTTATGAAATGGTCATTATATGGGTTTGATTGAACTAAATTTGAATGAAGTGAAATATAACCTGATGATGAATATGACATCGACTCATATTTTCTGAAAACACTAAAATTTATAACATGAATGAATTTCTTATTCGTTGAATTTATGAATTCTTGAGGTAATCTTATTCTAGTTTTATTTATCACTGGAAAATAACGCTTTACCATATTTTTAATCGTAATAAAAATGTCAATTATCAATATTATTTCAAATAATAGTTGTGAATTAAATTTAACAGTTAGCGGAATTTATAATGTTACTCTCGTTTCTGTGAGTGGTAAATTTAATTCCATTCTTTTAGACCCTTCAGATTATATATCATTTATTAAAGATGACCATGAAAAAACGTATGATATGTATATAAATAATGTGATAGCGAAATGGGATATTAACACGATTTTAAGTTATTTAAATGAATCATTTATCGTATTGTATGAAGGAAATTTTAAATCAAAACCTGATAAACTTTTTGAACTTGATGAAATAAATAACCTTATTAAATTTCCGCTGAAAATTAAATTTTGTACTCCTCATCTTCGTTCATTGTTGGGGATATTAAATTTTGAAAAAGATGTTGGGGATGTTTTGTATTCTGACACTGGTTCCAATTTCATTTTAATCAAATGTGATAAAGTTAATACCCCAATGAGATTTTCACATCAAACATTAGACCCTAACTCTTACCCATCAATACAAAACATTTTATCCATCAACTTAAACACATTTTCTTTATCATATCCGTTTCAATTATCCGGGAATTCATTTATTCTTCATTCAAAAGATTTATCAAATATTAAATTTAGAATAACTGACCTATTTGATTGTGATTTAGAATTCATGAATGAAATATTATGGCAATTTCAAATAGAAAAAATAGCTGATGAGATAACAGATTAAATATTTATTTTTAAATCATAATAAATGATTAAACAACAGCAACCACAACAACTTAAGGCACAAAGCACCCAGGTCCCTCAGACCATTACATACGCCATATATGCATATAATTCAAAGACGGCAGAACAAACGCAAAGGTTGAAATATGGAGATTTGGAGATAGTATTGAAAAATGAACATTTCGAATTCGTTTGCAAAGGTGGTGCAGTGATATCAAATATAAAAGAAATTTTATTTATGAATTCAAAAATTAAAGGAATAACGGATGATATAACATCAATTCCACCAGAAGAACAAAGATATTACGCATTAAATGCATTTCCTAAAGTTTTGAAGATTGGAAGATTTAATTTAAATGAGGAATTCATAAAAGGTTTCCTTAATGACATAATGAAGAAAGCAGATAAGGAATATGTCAACGGTGAGTTAATGAAGAAGGCAGATAATGAATATGTCAACGGTGAGTTAATGAAGAAGGCAGATAATGAATATGTCAACGGTGAGTTAATGAAGAAGGCAGATAAGGAATATGTGGATGAAAAAGATAATGAAATTAAAGAAAGGGTTGAATGGTATCATGAATGGACATCAAAGATTTTTAAAACTAAAGCTGATACAGGATGGGTTTCAGGATGTTTAGACCTTAAAGCAGATAAGGAATATGTCAACGGTGAGTTAGAGAAGAAGGCAGATAATGAATATGTCAACAGTGAGTTAGAGAAGAAGGCAGATAATGAATATGTCAACAGTGAGTTAGAGAAGAAGGCAGATAATGAATATGTCAACAAAATATACCAAAGTTTGATAGGAACAACTGAAAATATTGAAACTATTGTTGGTGACTTTTCTGTCTATGAAGAAAATAAATATTTTAGATGGCAATTGGTACACTCCTTAAAAAATGGTATGCGGTGTAAACTCATTCCGAAAAATAACAATGAAATGTATGTAAGCTATATAAAGAATAATGGTACACAAGTTAAAGTTCCATTAGACAACAACTGTTACTTAAACTTATATGGAGACGAACAAAAGAAATATTTAAGAGTTTATGAAATGACAGATATGACATTGCCTCGCACAGCTCCAGTACCATATTATTATGACTATGGAGATGATGTCAGAACGCCACATGTAGATGAACAAAAGTTAACATTATATTTAGATTATTATAGATATAAAAGATATAATGCAATAGAAAAAACGAGAATAGTATATTATTATACAGATGACAGAAATAAATATTATAGTCAAGATTTTACCTACCCTGAAAACATAAGATTATATTATAAAAAATATTCTGACACAAACCAGAAGAAACCTGAAATAGTTACACTATATCTTAAGTTCAAAAGAGACAATCCTATAATATCTCATATGTTTGATTTAATGAACCCAGTAGGTTCTATTTATACATCTATGGATGCAAGAGGTCCTCAAGTAATGTTTGGTGTTGGTGCATGGGAACAAATAGTCGACAGGTTTTTGTATTGTGCAAACTCTTCAAAGGAAATGGGTGGAAGTAAAACGATTACAGGTGAAAATTTACCTGCACACAGTCACTACATAGATTTAAGCACATCTCAAGCGGGTTGGCATAAGCATAGATATTGGGATTGGTCTGGAATGACAAAAGGTAAAGGATATGATGTTAAAGACGACGTTAAGTTTGCTATAAATTGTTACTGGGATGACACTCAGGGAGAAGGAAACCATACACATTTCGTTTCAGGATATACACAAACAACGGGACAAAGTAAAGATTACATGCCACCATTTATGACTGTATTCGCATGGTATAGAGTTCAATGAATGAACTAAATATATTTTATGTCTGTAATTAATTAGGTAATGAAGTAATGGATGAACTGCAGAAATAAATGTTTACGTTAATGTTTACGTTAAGTGACTCAAAGAGTCCGGAGACAAAGTCTCATGTTTTAGGTTATTCAATAATTAATTATTTTTGAAGAACTGAAGGTGTCACCACGTCACCATGTCACCAGGTTAATTAACTTCTCTGAAAAAATGAGACAACATGACATTTTGACAACATCACAGGAGGAAGGCAGTTATGAATTATTGAATAACCTAAAACCATTAACGATAAAATAAGTGATAACAATTTTTTATTTTTATCATAAATGAATACCCCACAAGCTCAAAATTTACCACGAATCATAACAAGGGAGGAAACGATAAAAATGATGCGAGAACTTGCTAAAAATAACAAACCACTAAAATTGAGAAAATGTGGTTATGCAGTAATGATGGAAAGAGAGATGTTGTCGAAGAGGAATAAAAATTAAATTTGGATAGAGTTTAAAAATTCATCTTTATTAAATTCATCTCTTCCAACCAATTTATTTATTCTATTAAATTCTTTTATTTTTGCTTCACTCAGTTTAAGGATTGAACGGTAAGTTTTTAATTTTTCGATTATTTCTTTCCTCTCTTTATTGTTTTCAACCCCACCGCATTGCGACTTCTTTTTGTAATAGCATATTTTTGATTTAATTCTGTTTAGTTTCTTTTTATATTCATCGTCTGGACTCTTGACTGCTTTGTTGTCACTCATTTCTTACGAAATAAAAAAATTAAATATTATTTAAATATAATGGAGTAATAAAATAAATCGGAATTTCTATTAATTTATTGTTAACCTCAACTAATGCATTGCCGTTAATATATCTAACAAATTCAGCTATTGTGTCAAATCTTCGTCTTCTTTTTGTCATTGATTTATCAGTTTTTCCATAATCGAGATGAATCAAAACTTTATCCCCTTGTTTAAAATTCATGAGCCCCGAATTAATTTGTTCACGTTTAACATCATTCAACCTTTCCATTTGCTTTCTAATATATTCCCATTCTTTTGAAATATCATTTTTCATTTCCACCGGTTTCATGTTTATTGTTCTATGCCATGTATTATTATAATAATATACTAACTGTTGTATGATGGAGTCATGATTTCCATCCCAGTATATCTGACCGTTAACCCCTAACGCATCTCTAAGAGTTCTCATTACCGCATCAACTATTTTATTATGAAACGTATATGGAGAGGATGAAAAGAAAAAATTAATTTGTGGGAAATAATGAGTCATAGCTGCCTGAAATCCTTTATCACCATCACCCCTGATATTATCTACTCTTTCATGATCTAGTAAGTATTGAATAGCTCTTCTTGTTTCCTGTTCTGTTTTCCCTTTCACCGGAATGCAATATAAATATCTAGTGTTAATGTTAATGGCAAATAAATAAGTAACTTTTCCTTTTGAATATTCCAGATGATCGATTTCGTATGAATATGGATATGGAGCAAATGAAGGGCGACTAAATTTTTCCTTTAACGGTTGAATTTTTGGGTCAATTGGTTTATTTAATATCTTGAAATCCTTTTTAAAATCTTTTTGCTTCTTTAATGTTTGAAATGGATATAATAAAGTGAATGATGAAGGATTAACTGAAGGAGGAGGAGGTACTGTCGTTAGAGGTTTTGGTGTTGCAAGTGGTTTAATTTTATCTGCTTTGATTTTGGATTTCATTCCTTCCTTCATTAATTCTGGATGTATTCTATTCATTTGTTTTAAATATGCTGTATATAAAGGTTTGATATACTTTCCCGCTTCGAGTTTATGTTGAAGGATGAATTCCAAAAGTTGATCTTCATTTAAAAGTCGGGCTGAATATGGTTTAACTAATGAATCATAAATTAAAGCTTGTGCTTCATTTATGGTCTGAATGACCTGGGCGTTTTGCACCTTTTGTTTTTGTTCCTTTGGTTTTTGCGGCTCAGGATTATATAATTTATATAATTCATCAATATCTTCTTCTGTTAATACTTTATTTTTGAAATCTTTCAACTGTTTAAGCTGTGATTTAGTTTTTCCCTTTGAATATTCATTATTTTTAATTTTGTCTTTAATTTCAGAAATTATTTTATTATGATATTTCAAAATTTCATTTTTATAATATGGATAATAATATTCCATATCATCACCCGTTATATTATTATTATATTTTTGGAGATATGATTTTAATTCATAATAACTAAGAAATTTTTGATTAAGTACTAAATCAGCAATTAAATTTTTTAAATCTGTGTTATCCATTTATATAAAAATAAAATCAATGTTTTAAGGGTGCCCACCTCTTTGAATCATAGTATCAAAACCATCATTAACGGTTCCTTTTGTCTCTTCTGTGGTATTTTATTAAATAAATGGCATACAACATCCATTTTCACAACATACAGCCTTAGTGTGTGCTCCTGTTAATGCAGTCTTACCGATTGTTAAGCGAGTCATTGACCCATTTTTAAGTTGTAAATTAATATTCTGACCATCAAATATCACTTTATCATTTATTATATCCAAATAATTTTTAGGTGTTAATTGTTTATTTTGTCGTAAACTAACACCTTTCATTTTTTGTGCAATCTTTTTAAAATCACTTCCATCAATTGAACCGTTGAATGATGTATAACACTTAGGACATAAAGCAACCATGTTATCACCTTGTTTCTCAATTGCTAAACCCAATAACTTCTTCTCATGTGCTTTTTCTTCAGCTTTATTCTTTAATTTAGGTTTAAATTTCTCATCAAAACAGAAGAAATCAAATGGTGCGAATTTGAAAATGTTTTTATCATAAAATTGTTTATCAGTAACAATTGCTTGAAATGCTTGAGTGTTAGGAAGATTTGGGTCGCCAGCGATTGCCCAATAAGATGAATCAGTATCACCTTCAATGAAATGAAAACGATTAACATTCATGCATTTATACATAAAATCATAAATGAAAACCAAATACCAGTATTTTGCGTTATATAAAGTGAAGAATGCCTCTTGTAAACATGTATCACATCTATAAAATCTATCTTTAAGCATCACTTGATACGTATCCTCTCCTATTTCTCTTATGTTTTTAAACTTATTTGACATACATGCAACGCGTGCCTTCTGTGCATTCATTATTTTAGTCTTTGCGTAATTTTGTGTATTCATTGCATCGTAACCATATGATCCATTAAGTGAAATCTTGCAAAATAAACTTTTTCCTTTATTTCCTTCTAATTCAGCCTTTTGTCTTTCATTCATAAATTCGTTCGCAAATTCATTAAAACAAGTGTTTTTCGTAAATGTTAAAATTGATTGAATGTCATCAATGATAAAATGAAATCTGTCTATTAGATACCAAAGATAATAAGAAGAAAATGGTTGATATTGGTTGTGTGTTGATGCTAACTGAGTTAATTTTCTCTGTTTCTGGTCAACTGGTAGATTGTTTGATTTCATGTAATTATACATAAAACTGCCAATTGTTTTTTCATCTGTGATAATATCTAAGTTTCTTATTATCGGTAAAAAGTTTATGTAATCATTAATGTATTTTTCATCAATGTGACCCTTTACTTCAGCCACGAATAAAGTATTTTTCTTCTTAATTATTCCCAGTGCTTTTGCTTTCTTTGTTGCTGTATCACAAATGATAACACCATTCAATCTTCCCGGCATATACATTTTATGGTCAGTATATTGAATGAAATCATGAGGATTCGATGAAAATGATGAAGGATATAATGAATTAAAATCAACACCAACGAAATGAGTCATAATGTTGGTGGTGTCCTCATTTGATACAGTTTTAGTTTCTGGACTATATGAAAGTTTATTAATGTGCGTGATTCCTTTAAGATTAACACGATGTTGAACATTTGATAGACCACCAGTAATTCCATTACGGAGAATGTGATAAGCTTCAACTGAATCTAAAGTCATTGGTAAATTATTTTTAATGCATAATTTCTTAAATTGATTCTTAAACGTTGAACATCTTCATCTTTATTTGATTTACGACATTGCAATAACAACACATTAACTGACAATTTTCTTTGGTATGTGGTTTTTCATTATCGATTCTATCCAATGTTGGTTTATTTACATATGTAAACGCTTTACCACACATTTTGCATTTAGATGAAAGGATTAAATCGTGATAGTATTGAAAATCATCCGTTGAAACATTATTTTTAGTATCTCTTTTCGCCTTTTCATCTTGTTTCTTATATGAATCAATTTTATATTTCCAATACTTTTTTGTTAATTCAAAACTTGATTCTATCTCTTCCTCAGGATATTTTTCATTAGGATTAAAGTCTTTATATGCTAAAGCGTAACGAATCATTGAAGCATTCGATGATAAAGAAAGATTATGAAGCATGTCAATTTTATAAACAAATGTTTCTTCGATAATTTTATCGATTGGGTCAATCATAATTTCAACGTCTTTATTGCAATAATGAATAAAATATTCTAATCTATTCTCAAAATTTTTAGCATCATTGAGATATATTTGATAATCTGAATCGGATATAGTTTCTTGAGTTAATGCTGAATAAAATGAATCTTGAGTGAATGGTTCCTTTTTATATAATTCATCTTCGTAATTCTCCCATGTGATGAATTGATAAGGGAAAAAGGATTTAACACGTGTTTTATTATTTCCGAAGTCTTGAGTGAATTGATCTAATGTTCCACCCGCTATATAATTTCTGATGTCAATAAATCTTAATTCATATGGACAGTTTGTTTTCTTTACTATGACTTGCTTAAATTGAGAAGAAGAACCCAGCATTGATTTTATCTTCCATTTTGCAGTATTTAAATCACGAAGAATTAAATTTAAATCAAACTTTCCCGAATTAAAACCAATGATATTCACTTTATTAAATTCTTCATCTAAAAGCTCTTTCATTGCTTCCTTTTGTTTCTCATTTAATGTATTCATTAATTCTTCATATTGTTCAATATTTGATTTAGCAACTAATGAACAGGTTGAAAATAAAAATTCAATCCAATCAGAGATGAACGAATCACTTGATGTTAAGCAAAAATTCCTCGTAAATGTTTTATCACGGTCTACGACCTCGCCGCTTTGCGGCTTTATTTTGACAGTTGATGATACCATAAATGGTTTTAAGTAAGCGTTCAAAGTTGCACATTCAGAAAGTTGAAGTTCTTCTTTAGTCTCTAATGTTTCGAAGTCAAAAGTAATATAATATCTTGTTGGTTTATAATATTCCTGCAAATTATGTGCTAATAGCCATTGATATATCTTCTGTTTCGTGATATGTGGTGCATATGGTTGTTGTGTGTTTTGCAATTGAACGTCTTGAATTAATCTTCCATTATTTTCTTTACATTTCTCACAATGTTTTAAAAATCTTCTTTGGTTTTTCCTTTCTGGATCATCACGGATAGAATATACTTCTTCTTTGCAAAAGGGGCAAACTTTATATCCTGTGAGTGCTTCAACGTCTGTAATTCTGTCAGCGTGAAGTTTTCCACATGGACTCTGTGTTAATAAAATATTTATGTTTCAAATTCTGGATCTATCATTATTGATTCCACTAATGGAAAGTCTACCTTGTTAATGTCTACGTCTTCTGGTTGAGGGTCACAATAATAAAATCAATATTAACGTTTAACATTCTTGCTAACCTCTCACTTTCTGATGAAATGTCAAATCCTTCATATGCATCTATGGCTTCATTTAAATAACTTCTACGAGTTTTAGGATTAACACCATCAGGAATGTTATAGAAGCGTTTAAATAACCTTCTACCTTCGGCTCTTATTTGATTATCATTCATTTTAGCTGTTCCATTTTTATTCATTTATGTAAGAATAAAAATTAAAAAATAAATAAAAATAAAGTTTATTTTTTTAAAGTCCGAGACTCAGAGAGTCCAGGGCTAAAGTCCATAAAATGAATTAAGAACACATAAATTTTTATCATCTGCGACGTGACGAATACATTTTAATTTACTCAAGAATGCGTACCCTGATACATTAAATCTAATTCCTGTCTTATTTAATTTCACAACTTTGAAAAGGAATGTATGAATAGCTATAAAATGATGAGATGATGTTTTATGGGTTGCTTCCATTTTTTCTGAAATAAATGAATAAATATAATGTTTATAAGTTTTCATATCTTTTATGTTCTTAATAACGAATGGTATAGACCTTTCAACTTCGTCTTCCTTCGGTGCTGTTCTTTCATATGAAACATTATTGGTATCTTCAATAATGAAACCACAATCGCATAAAATTTTATATGTACCAATTGTTTCTTTTGATATTTTATCTAACAAATCAAAAACTTTATCAACACCTGTACATTTATATAAATAATAATTTGTGTAAATATCATGATCTTCTTTCTTAATCGTATTAGTTGCATATGTTACATTTTTCAGTGCTTTTTTGAATTTTTCAGAATCAAGAGGAGGTGAAAGTAATATACATGGATAATCTCCATCGTCAATAAATTGTAGCTTATGTTTATGAATAAATTTTGTGCCTTCTTCTGAAAGTGTTTCGTCAATATCACCATCTAATAAATTTTTAGTAGATTCCAAAAAGTAATTTTTATATCTTTCCTCATGTGATTTTTGAACTTCTGATTCTGAAGCTGGGATATTCATTAAACCCTCTACTTCATTCTCAGCATTTCTCAATTCCTTAATTTTTTCATCTATTTCATTTCTTAATTGTTCCAATTTCTCAATCTCATCGTTATAATATTCATCTTGTTTAATTTTTTCTTCAAAATATTCAGGAGGTGTTTCAAGGCTCTCTGAGCCCAGGTCCTCTGGACCATAAAGAGGAATATTCTCCTGTTTTTCAACTTTTTTGGGATATAAATATCTCATTATAGCCTTTTTAGTAATTGGTCCGTTATATTTAAATTCATTCAACAATCTGGAAAACTCTTTCACATTCTGCATATATGTTGGATAAGAACCGTCTCCAAAATTTTCTAAAATATTTTCTAATTCTGAATTAGTGAACTTTAAAGATTTCAATGAATTAGTTGTTATACTCATTTATTATAAAATAAAAAATAAAAAAAATAAATTTAACTTAGTTTTAATTTTACGTAAGAAGTTAATTTTTTATATACCGTCATTTGTAGGTATTATTTCTATCAGATAAAAATTATTTTTTTATTTAAAAAATATAATTTATTTTATGTCTTATAATGTGCGCATATGTATTTAAAAGGCATTCATTGAATTGCTTTTCAATCTCTTTCTTTTTTTCATCTTCGAATATTATATCATTTTCATGTTCGAAGCTTGTAAGTTTGTTATCTTCAAATATTATATTAGTTTCATATATCAAATTATGATATCGGTCATATTCTTTTAAGTGATAAATAAATACAAAATTTACGGTTCCTTTAATTTTAAATTCAAAATTAATTTTACAACAGCTTTGTGGATCAATTAGTAAATCAATCAAATAATGTTCAAAATCAGATATTATTCTTTTTCCATACATTTTATATTAAATAAAAAAATCTAACTTTATTTTTTCGGAGTTTTGTGACGAAGTGCGAATCTTCACTTCGTCAAAAATATATTCTTTTTATTAATGGTAATATAGGAATTGTAGGAATAAAAACTTTTTATAAATTATTCATAAATTTTTAAAATCTGCTATTCGGAAGTATGTTCAAAAATCATTCAATTATGTGAGAATTCTTACGATTACAAAAAATAAATTATTCAAAAATGTAAGACATGAATTTTTAAAGTTTATTTTTTATTCATGAAAATAATTATTTCTAATTTCTTTTACTCTCTCGTATATACTAGATTTAAAGAATTCAGAACATTTCCCATAATCTCCTAAATGTTTTCTTATCCCTAACGTGTGCCAGTTATTATATGAAACTGAATAAACTTTATTTTTATCTCTACACCTTTCATCACTTCCAATATATTTATATCTCAGTTTTGATTTAGCATTTTCATATTCATTAGCGTTTAATAGTTCACAGTCTTCCTTTTTAAATTGATGTTTAAGATATTCAGGATTTAATACTCTACGTTTATATGCTCCTAACTTAGTTCTAAAGGTTTTTCTACAAAATTTAGGAATTCCATCCTCTTTAATGTCATCAATGATTTCCATTTCATTATTTTCAATTTCTTCTTCTCGTTTATGAGGTCTTTGATTATGACTCCATTGATTCCATGAAATTAAATATTCTTTATCATTATATTTATACCTCATTAGCTTATTTT